ATAGTGAAAGAATTCCTATACCTGGGATCAAACATTGATAGAAATGGGACTGCAGTAAGGAAATCAGAAGAAGATTAAGAATGGGGAGAGTGGCTATGAAAGAACTAGAGAAGATCCTAAATGCAAAGATATCAACTCAGCACAAAAGTTAGAATCATACAAGCCATTGTATTCCCGGTTACCATCTATGGATGTGAGAGCTGGACAGTTAAGAAAGATGATAGGAAGAAAATCAATTCATTTGAATATGGTGATGGAGAAAAGTGCTGAGGATCCCATGGACAGCCAAAAGGACAAACAAATGGGTCCTAGAGCAAATCAAGTTGGAAACCTCCCTGGAAGCCAAGATGACAAAACTGAGGCTAACATACTTTGGACACATCATGAGAAAGGAGGACTCTTTGGAAAAGACAATAATGCTGGGAAAGATGTAGGGAAGTAGGAAGAAAGGAAGGCCCCATGCCAGATGGATGGACTCTATTAAGGAGATCATGGGTATTAAAGGGTTGCAGGATTTAAGCAGAGCAGTGGAGGACAGAGGGTCTTAGAGATATCTCATCCATAGGGTCGCCATGGGTTGAGATCGACTTGAGGACAGTTAACAACAACAAAACAACAAACTCACTTATGATGCCCCAAGGCAAACCTATCACAGGGTTTTCTTGGCAAGGTTTATTCAGACGTGATTTTTCCATTGCCTTCCCCTGAGACTGTGAAAATGTGACTTGCCAAAGATCACCTAATGGATTTCCATGGCTGAGCAGGGATTCGAACCCTGGTCTCTAGAGACTTAGTCCAGTGCTCAAGCCATTATGCCACACTGGCTCTTACTACCATGGATACCATGTCTAAATGTTTTATGAAGCCCTGTGTGCTGTTTCGTGGTCTAAAGTGGCCATCATCATGTCTGAGAGTTAAAAAAAAAAAGACTCAACACTTACCAAAAAACAAGAAAACAAAAATACTTTTAAAAACATTTGTTAATTCCCTGCAGATTTCAATACACACAACTCAACCAAAATGTCCTAACTTTATTAAGAGTGATTTTAAAAACAATAGTGAGCAAATGTTTTGTTGGCATCCCTGAGTGCTATGAATTTCCTCCATAGAAGTAGATATCATGCAGGTCATATACTCAGAATGCATATCACTTCCTACATGAAGGTGATATCTTTCTGTGGGAATTCTCTCTGTAAAATAGCTCCAAAATTATTTTGCAAGTGGTCATGCAGTTCCAGCAGCATTTAAAGATCATTTATGCCTCTAGATGGCATATTCTTCATGATTTGCCATCTGATTACATCTCTTCTGTAGCTAGATTTGTTTAAACCATGCATTTGAAAGGACACATTCTCCATGAATTAAGAATACACCATTTCCCAAAGGATTGATTTAGTCTTTTTTTAAAAAATACAGATGAAAAAAATCCTTCCTGCTAGCTATTTAGCTTGATCTGTTACTTTTGTTGCAGAGTAAGAGAAAAATCACTCTCTACTACAATGAGAAATTATTTTTTTCCCTACTAGGAGCTGCTTGGCTACACATTTCAAGTGTATTCCTGAGTAACTGTTGTGATTTCAGATCCAAAACTAAATCTACAATTTCTTTATATCTCATTAGGTCTGTTATGCTTCCTCCTTCATATCAACTCCTCCCTTCCTTTCTACCCTTCTACACCAATAAAATTGTAATTTTCCAATTGTAATTGGAGCAAAAAGGCAATTGTATATATTTGGTTTGAATCCAGAGAAAACAGCAGTTATTGTCACTAATGTGTATGCATGAATTTGATTTTAGTAGGAGGCCTTTTTCATGTTTTCTTGTCCACTCCCACACAAAGATTTTTGTTTTGTTTAAAAGTTTGGATTTATTTACTTTTTCCTTATTCTTGACCATCCTAGGACATGTTATGACTGATTAAGTGGTTTATAAATACATAGACTGTTGTGAAGAAATATCCACTACCACTTCTTCGACTTTTCTACATTTTGTTGTATTATAGCCTGGAAATGAAATGGATGATAATACTTGATGAACAAGTGGCAAAAATGCCAATTAAATCCATTTCAATTTCAGGCTGTAATACAACAAAGTGTGGAAAAATCAGAGACATGTCTGTGCATTTGTGAACACATCTGTAAATTAGAGGAATATTTCAAGCATTGTATATAAAAAAGTAAATACACCTGTGTGTATTCAGTGTTTTATTGTTATTGTTGTTAAAAAGCAAGAGCATTGGATAAATAATTCAGAATATGAAAATGCTGGTCAGGGCATAGAAATGATTAACAGGTGTCCCCCCCCCCCCATCCATTTATGTCAAGGAAACCTGTCTGATAAAGAGTGATTCCTGTTTCAAATATGTAGCATTTCTTTTTCTTTCTAAGATCATACTTTCTCAGTGAAATTATTTTGATTGAACTAGTATTAAATATGCAACTAAAAAATCATAGATTAGTTAATGGCCATGGAAACTCTTTAGTGAGGAGGCTAATATGTGTCCAGGAGCAGTTGTATTTATAGACCAGGGGCAAGGAACCTTTTTGAGATGCTTAAGTCACATCTAACAGAATAAAATCCCAGAATCCCAATTTTTTAAAGACAATAAAATAGAAATAATTTTTGGAAGACATTCATGACAAAGGACAATTTTAATCGCATCATTGAACAGTTGCCCTGCACTTGGTTGTGGCAGGCTGTAGCTTAATCTTGCGATAAATAAGAACACAGGGGAGGTGGGAAAGATTTGAAGGTAATTCTCTGTAAAACAAGCACATAATTTGTGTTACCAGCTTTTCTGAAGGTCAGGAATGATATCAGTGCAAGTCATCAGTAATTTGTTGGCCCCATTCTGAAAATCACTTTTTCATCATTGTTATGTTTGATATTTAGTTAATGACTAAACAGCCTACAAAACGTCTTGGCTGTGGTCCTGAGGGAGAAAGAGACATCCGGGAGCATGCCTTCTTTAGAAGAATTGACTGGGAGAGACTGGAAAACAGAGACATCCAGCCTCCATTCAAGCCTAAAGTGGTAAGTAAAATGAATAGCACATCCTTCTTGGTGAATTGTTTCATGTTTTGCAACTCAGAGCTGGTTATTTCCACTGAGATTGGAGAAGTTCAGTTAATGTTGATGGGTTGGATCCAGGTTGTTGTTTTTTTCACACAATGATTGCACACACACCCTTCCATTTGTAGGAAAAAAGGAGAATCTTCATCCGTTCTCCTTGCTGCTGGTCCTTATTTTTAGTATATAAAACTAAACCAGCCCCTGAAGTTTGATTAGTAAAATCAGATCTGGTTACACCAAAGAGTGTATAGTGTAGTTCTTTAGTTGACAGCTGTACAGGTTTCTCTACAGTATCCCTAAACAGTCTGTGTTTCATCATTGTTCCTCCTTTTAGCAGCTATATTTTTGCTTCTTAAGCTTAGTGCCTCTCCTCATTCTCAGAACAAGTTCACCTTGATGCCACCATTTTGGGGAAACTGGTGGGTTTTAATACCAAGCAGGTACGATGTGTGAAAAGAAATCATTGCTTTGCTATTGGAGTGTTTTCTTCCTTATCAAATTCAGTAAAGATTGAATAACAGTTCTTGTGTGTGCAGTTTCTTTTCCAGTATAAATTGTTCTCCTAAAGTATCATCTTTAAAAAGCACACAGTATACAGTAATTATAGGATTTAATAGCTATACTTTTCAATGGGTTTTATGAAAATACAATTTTTTTACTTAGTGTAGGCCTCTGAGAAAGCTTTGTATATCTTATGTTCCAAGACTGCTTTATGTAAATTGTATTTGATGGAAGGAATAATTGTGATCTTATGGTGTTTTAGTTTAGAATAAACTAAAGGTTTAAAAAGAACATTGTGAAGCATCTATTTTTGGTGTGAGAGTTGAAATTTCACCAAAACTACCCATCATGTTGAGTAACATAAAGGGTTTTTTTTTCTTTATAAAGACACAGCCAATGTGCCTTTAAAATGTATCATTTGAAATGATTTTCCGTTTTATTATTTTAACCAAACATTGAGGTGGTACACTGTCATAATGGCAGTGACAAATCCCACTACAGGGCAGTAGTGATTCATAGCCACTGTATTATAGTGCCCCCCTCCACAAATTTAATATAGTTCTTATGCTTTTCACAGATAGAGAAACAAACTTGAGTTTTTAAAACATTACCATAAGTACCTGTGTTAAATATGTGGGAATGAGAAGATTAGTTAGTGGAGCATGTTTACTTGTATCATTTACAGTTTTGCTGACAAAACAGGATTTAGCAGACCTGATTGCATAAGAAGCATTGCCTCAGTGTGCTGAAGCAGTCCCCTGTGCAGATGGGATCACTAATTGAATTATCAGCTCTGCACACAAGTTGGATAGTTGAGACACAGTGCCTTCCCGGCCTACCTTCAGGGGCAGCAAGAATCAGATGCCTGAATATATTCCTCCCACTCAATATTTGATTACCTTTACCATCAGTTGTGTGATCATGCTGGTCTTATGTTTTCACTAGATCAAGTTTAAGATTGCAATAATTTTCAAACAATTTATAGGACTAAGATTGTCTGATATAGGGATGGGAATCATCTGGCCCTCCTGATGTTGTTCAGCTCCCAGCATTCCTCACCATTGGCTATGGTGACTGATGGGAGTCCAACAACCTCTGGAGAACATGAATGATTACTAATACTACTCTAAGAGGTAATATATTGCTATGTATGTCTGGGAGTTTCATCATACAGTAGGAAATTTAATTGCCATTCAATCATCTCACCAATAATGAGAAGATCGGACTGGGGTTCAATTTTCTAACTTTCTCTGATAGTGCAGCTGCTGAAAACTTTTCCCTGTGGAAATGGCCAAATGGATTATTCTTTGCTCCCAAAATCAGTAACATCCTTCCCAGCTAATTTGCAGTGACCTTCCCGATGTTTTTTTCCCCCCTTTGGAAGAAGTGTTTGTGCCTGTTGAGTGTCTTCAGTGCATGTATCCTCAAAGGAAATACTTTTATCTATCCACATAAAAGTCTGTATTTTTATGTGTACATCCTCAAATACATCATGGCTATTTGGCCATCCCTACCTATCCATTCAGATGGGCAATTGTAATATGTGAACCACATTATTGATGATTAAGTCAGGTCATAGACAGCATGGCTGAATAAGAAAAATGTCTCCACAATTACAGGAATTCCTGCTTGCTATAGGTTTAGTACACATACTGGGACTGTTGGTATATGTCCAACATTGTGTGAACTGCCCTTCATTCACAGATTATGGAAAGTTAACAAAATGTAAGTTTGCAAAGTCCAATACAATTAGCATGCTTGTTAAAAGATGTAATATTTGTAATTACTTCATAATATATGTTCTTAACAGTTTCCTGTTTTTACATCTAGTCACATTGTTTTCTTTTTGTTTCTTGACAGTGTGGCAAGGGTGCTGAAAACTTTGACAAATTCTTCACCAGAGGACAACCAGTGTTAACGCCACCCGATCAGCTTGTCATTTCCAACATAGACCAAACAGATTTTGAAGGGTTCTCCTATGTCAACCCCCAATTTGTACATCCCATGTTGCAGATCATAGTATGAAAAACAGACACACAGAGTCATCACAAGTGAAATATTGTCTGTATCCTGGAATTTTTAGACCTTTGCCTTCTTGATTCCATTTGGGTCTGAAAATTTTAGGGGAAAGAAATGAGAACGATACTGAGGTTTACAACAAAGAATGTGTGGTCTTAGGAGATCACAGCATAATATCCAATGTATTCGTCTAGGAATCACTGTTGCTTTTAGATTACTCTTATGAAGCTAGC